AAGAACACACCGCAGAGCTTGCAATGGTAGGCTAGAGGGAGGTCTTCCTCGTCGTCCTCGTCGTGCACCTCTTGCTTGATGAAGTTCTCCTCCTGGTTCATGGGAAGTATGGCAGCGGCGTTGTTACCACCTCTGGCCAGCTGGGGGCATTTCGCGGCAGCGAGGTCGCCGCCGCCAGGATCGACGTCCTTCTTCATCAGATCGAGCTTCGTCAGCATCGCCATCGGATAATACTCTTCGGAAAAGGGTAGCTGGTTGTACCTGAAATGTAAAAATTCGAAGGGCCACATCAGTATCGGGTGTCCTCGCTGTGAGAAGTTCGCTGTCGACCGGCGCGCGATAATCGCATACCTGGAAGCGATCCGGTCGATTTATCGAGAGAGGTACGATTTTGTTTCAACGTGTGTGTGTGACGTCCCTGAATAGATTGGTATTTTTTTTTTTTTTTTTTTTTTTTTTTTTTTTTGGTAAATTTAAGCTCGTGTGAAAGTCACACGTCGTGGAAAACCTGATGATTAGCGTTGATTTAAAAAAGTATGAGAAATAAACGGTAAAATGAGATGGTGTGTGTATACTTTGAAAAAAAGTTACATTTTTTCAATAAGACAGGGCTCGTATTTGCACGATGTGAAAACAGTTGTTTTATTTAACAAAATTGTACATGCAACGGCAGTTAAGTAACTTGAAAAAATACTATGCTCCACATATATATATATATTGATATACGTATATGGACGATTTACAAATTGCTTCAGTGGCATACAACCGAAGGTTTATTACGGATTTACTTGTTCCCCTCCTAAAATTGGCCTATGTACAATTAACGTAAGGTAATACTGCGAAGAATATGGTACACGAAGGTGATATGTATCGAATGTATTACCCGAGAATCGAAGTTAAAAACCAGCAGACCTTCACACGTACCGTGTAGGAATAAAACGATATAAAAATATTAACTGAAGCCTTTTTTTTCCTTTCAGTTCGTAGCTTTGGCACCGGTCGATTCTTCCCGATAAATAATAACCGAAACGTTCTCCCCCGTGTTTAAGCCGTTGTTCGTTCGACAATAATTCCATCGCTCTCTTCCTCTCTCTCAGCTACAGCTTCGTCTCGCCTTACTAAAATCTACGATCGATATAATTATGCAACGGAAAAATCGAAACAAAATGTACAATCAGGTATGAAAGTAGCGTCTCTAAAAAAAAAAACAACCTCGACCCTTAACAGTAGTAGTTCCCTTTAAAAATCTCGCGACTTCGAAAAAAGTCCCGCGAAAAACTCCGTTAGTCGAAAAAACGAATTTTCCAAACGTTCTCATTCCGTTTGATCAACCGCGACGACGTTCACCGCGTGCACTTTGCTGTGGGCGTTCAACGACGACCTGGAAACGAACGATTTGTTGCAGAACTCGCACTGATACGGTCTCTGGCCCGTGTGATAACGCTTGTGAATGACCAACGTAGAATGTTGTGTGAACGATTTTCCACACGTCTCGCACGTGTACGGTTTCTCGCCTGTGTGTGTTCTCTTGTGAACGACCAGCGTGCTCCTCTTGCGAAAGGCTTTGCCGCAGACGTCGCAGATCAGCAGCTTCTCCCCGCTGTGAAGTCGCAGATGATCCTGCAGAGATCCCTTCGAAGACACCGATTTCCCGCAGAGATGACAGTCGTGCCTGTTCTCGCCCATGTGTGACTTCACGTGAAACATCAGCGAGTTCTTGTAGACGAAGGTCTTGCCGCAGAACTCGCACTGGTGTTTCACCGGCTTGAAATTCGGATCGTGCACCTTCAGATGCTTCACGAGGGTATGATTGTTGGGGAAGGACTTGTTGCAGGAGCGACACACGTGCTCCTTCGCCCCGTGTTTCACGTTCATGTGACCGTGCAACTCGGCGTTCGTGAAGAATCCCTTCTTGCAGATCTCGCAGTATCTGGTGTACTTGTCGAAGTGACGTCGCTGATGAGTGGTCAGCTGAAAGGCCTGAACGAACGCGTGTCCGCACACGTCGCACACGAAGTTCTTCTCGCGAGTATGGATTCTTCTATGGACGGCTAACGTGTTGGTCCTCTTGAAGGACTTCCCGCAGATATCGCACTGATAAGGACGAGCGTCGCTGTGCGACACCTGGTGACCCTCGTACAGATTCTTCGTCCTGAAAAGCTTTTTACACACTTCACACTGATAGAACGTCTGTGACGAGGGCTCGTCCGAGTTCTTCCTGTTCTTCTCTAAGGACGTTGCGTCTACTTTCGTCGTTTCTCGGGACAACACTTCTAGACTGTTGGAACGTTCGAACGGATTCGCAACCCGGCAGGAGGGATTTTCGGTAATTTCGTGTTCCTGACTTGTCATCGATCGATCGTCCTCTTCTTTCACGAGGGGACACGAAGGAACCGAATGTTCCGCGATCAGTTCTTGCAACGACGGTTCGATCCTCGAACTTCCTGGAGATCTGTGAAAAAAATGAAAAAAAGAGTCTCGTCAATAGTGATTTATTTAGCTTGTTAGTTTAGATCTAACGACAACTTCGATTTTATTGGGAGGAACTGTTTTTTCTTTTTTCTTTTCTCTGTTTTTTTTTTTATTCATGAATCGGTTTATACGGTCGATTTACAGCTGATGGAATACACTGAACGTTACACACACACAAAGGAATAAAGTTGAACCTCGAGTTACTTCTTACGATCATTTTCTCTCTCCTCTTCTTTCTTCTTGGGATCGACTTCTCGTGGCAATGTCTACCGTTCCACTTTCAACGACTCGTCTCGTGAATAATTTAGGAAATCTTGGGCCTCTACGTGGTCCTTAAAATCAAACTAAGTACTGTTGTTGTTGGAATAATAAGAGTTTTCTTTTGCAAGGACAAAATTGCTGTGTTGTATTGGTCGTACCAATGTACACGGTGTATAATTTTTAACGATACAATAAAATTAACTTCTATTCTTTCGTAGTTCGTTTTATTCGGTGTTCCCCCTTTTCTTTGAAATTAAAAATTTCACACAAGTATGGTTTTTTTTCGTAATAGGTGTAAACTGTACCGATGTTTAACATTTGATCAAATTGACGAAAATACAAACGTAAGTATCTAACGTATTATGGTAATTCGTACAATGCTAAGAAGAGAAACTTTTTTCTTTCTTTCAAATCAAATTCTGAACATTTCGATCCAACTAAGATTAACGAAAGTAACAATCTGACAACTATTGCATGTACAATTTTTCAAAATTACGGTATGAAGTATATAGAGTAATGCAGAAATTATTTTTTATTTCATACCCTTTCATTGCCTTTTCAATCTTTTTTTGTTTCTCGTATACACTTGACCTAATCTCTTAAACTATTCGTTTAAAAAATAAAAATATAAAAAATGAACACAGAATATGTATATCACGATTGTTATACAAAAACATATATTTATTGAAATAAACAATTAAGTTCTCGCTTATTTGCACGTGTGCGTTATCAACGTTGACAATTTATATTTACATAGACTGTTACACGAACGTATTTAAAAGCTCTGCAATGAAAAAAATAATATATATATATATGTATCGATGTTACAACATAATTCTCAAGATCACGTTAGTGAAATGTACAATCGTCTAATTGCACTTTTTTCTTTCATCTTAAAACATAGAAAATTATAAATTCACTCGTGTTTACATTCTCGATAAATAAATTATAAATGATCGATCGCCCGAAACGATCGTATTATGCTAAAAATTTTCATTCAATCCTCTACACGTTTGATTTCTTCTTGTAGTTTATATTATTATTCATACGTGTACTTCGTTTTCTCGTATTCAGTTTCTAAAATTAAGCGAAGTATTGTACAATGTTGTTAAGCAAAAATATAAATATCTACGTGTATGTGAAATGTTTTATATCTCGTTCAACTGATACGAACATCTGAAATGGCTATTCGCATATCATGGCACCTGCTAAAATTAAGAGATTCTATGATGCTATTTATTACATTTCTCGTTATTTCCATCATTTTCTATCTTATTAAAAAATAATTTTTCAAGCGTGCTCCAGATATTTTTCTTCTTTCTTTCGCGTATCAACGAAATACTATTAAATCATAATCAGTCGCGTAACAAGGCAAAGCCATCACGAGAACTTTTGCCAAGATGTCAGGACAAATCTTGATATTGGTAGATTTTCCTTTGCAAAAATCTTCCTTTAGGAAGTATAAGAGATATCAAAGTAAAAATAGTAATTAGAAAAATGTATTGTCCATCGTGTTGACCACCACACTGATCTTTCCTGTAATATTAACGAAATCGTTCGGAGGATTCGGTATGATTTTAACATGATACCAAAGAGATAAGCAAAAAATATAAAAATTATATTAAAACACATACATATGGGAAAAATCAGGAGCAGAAGGCTTAGCGATATTCTTTATTATTAAATGAAAAGATCAATTTGCAAAAAAAAAAACATAATACACCGATGTATTTAATTTTATAAAATAGAATTAACAAAAGATATAAAGACCACAATTATTCGAAGAAAATAATTTTCATCCCCGTGTCATATCGTAAAATTAATTCCTTAAATTCCTTGATCAAATATAGATACTCTGGTACCTTCGACAACAAGAAAAAGTACTCCACAGTACTTAACGAATCTCCTCGCATATAAAAACTTTTTACAGAAAAGTCACCATGGTAGTCAATACGCTAAAACCTGAACCCCTAAAATCGACGATTCGAACATCTTCCTCGAACAATTTCCCTACCATCTGTACAGTCGACGAAAGAAACCTACGAACTCAGTCAGAAGAATCCATCGAAAGCAAGAAAAACTACAACAACGTATCTGTTCTAAACCGTGACAAAGAGACACGATGAGTCTTCCTCTGAATTTCTTCCAACGACTGTACACCAACAACGTTCACAGAGATCAATGGCGCTTATTCCCCTCGAAATACTACAACTTTCCAGAGTCTCGCGCGGAACACATAATAGTCGAACCAAGAGCTTCTCGGTTCTTCACTTTCTTTCGTTATGCGTCTTGATGTGCGAGTTCAACGAGCTCTGCTGCGTGAACCTTTTCTGGCACATCTTACACTCGTACGGTCTTTCGCCCGTGTGCGTTCTCAGATGCACGATCAGATACTTTCGAACGCTGAACGCTTTGCCGCACACCTCGCAAACGTGCGGTTTCTCCCCCGAATGTATACGCATGTGAATCTGCAGGTATGCCTTGCTCGACACCGATTTCCCGCAGATCTCGCAGGTGATCAGATTCTCCCCCGTGTGTATCTTCAGGTGCACCTTCAACGCGGCCTTCCAGAAACTCTCAAAGTTGCACACGTTGCACTTGTACTTCTCCCGCTCGCCGTGTGACTTGATGTGCGTGCTCAGGTAGGCTGCACTCGCGTAAGGTGTGTTGCACACCTTGCAGATGTAAGGTTTCTCGCCGGTATGGGTGAGCAAGTGTCGCTCGAGTGTCTGATTCGTGTAGAAACCTTTGCCGCATATCTCGCAGTGAGTCACGTACTCCTCGTTGTGTTTCTTCTTGTGCAAACGTAGATCGTAGCCGGATACCTTGGAGACGCCGCATACGTCGCAGGTGAAACGTTTGTTGTGCTGTTTCAGATGAGTCTTCAGGAATTCCTCGGTTTTGAAGCATTTCGTGCAACGCTCGCATTGAAACGGTTTCTCCTTCTGATGCACCTTGATCATGTGCTTCTTCAGCTTCTCCTCGTCGGTGAAGCTTTTGTCGCACTCCTCGCAATGTCCGGCTGCCGCTGCCTCCACGTCGTTCCTCTCGTGATCCTGCCTGTGCTTGAGGAATTGCAACTTTTTCCGCATTCTCTTGTTGCAGATCTCGCACTCGTAGAACGTAGCACGCCTGCTGCTGTTCGTCCTGCATTTCCCCTCCAAGTGTTGCTTCTCAACCTCCTCGTATTGCTCCTCCTCCTCCTCCTCCTCGTCCTCCTCCTCCTCTTCTATCATGTCCATCTCCGTTTCATCGGTGTACTCTAACGTCTCGGTAACTATCTCCTGGTGGCTGATCTGTTCGAACTCTTCTACCGTGCACACGTCACTTTGGTACTTGACCAATTCCATGTCCATCGTTTCTATAGGTTCTACTTTCATTTCCCGGTCGAGGACCTCCTGGCACCTGCAATGGACAAGACTCGTCAACGTGTGAAACAGAATATTGGAGACAGGTGTGTTTAAGAAGGCAATAAAAGCGTGTTTTTTCTCGGGTAAGGCGGACTTTCTTCCGTTTAGAAATGGAACTGCTGGCCACAGTTTCTCTTCTGTTTTTCACGGCTTAGCATTCGTTACGACATAACACGCTCCGACGAAATAATCGTGATTTTACATCGGCAAGCGGGACGGCTTTTTGCCAATTTTACAGACGACACAATTTTCGCGCGATCGAATTTCAGGTATACGTGTGTATACACCGGTTGTTCGTAAAAAGAGTAAGGATTTTTCTTTGTTCAGATGTAACGTCGTCGAAGGTATATTTATTGCAGCCAAGTGTCGAAGGGTACTTGATGGATAAATGTGATCGAATAGAATTGTTTTTAAAGGACATAATTACGATTCGTCGATGGTAACCCTAATTTCTTGAAGATCTCTTGACGTGTATTATGCGAATTGCTCGGTATCTCCTCGTGAAACCAGTTTTACGTGGTTTACGTTAAAACTGCAATTCTGAGATTACTTACAAATTCACGTGTTTCAAATTTAACAATTATTTATTACTAGCTACGAATTCTTCGAGATTTTCAACTTCTACGAATTGTATAAAAAGTTAATTTTTGGGAGGACTATGTATTTCTTCCAAAGTTTTATTCTTGTAATTATTACAAAATAGACAGGTAACTTTCGCGCATTTCAATTTATAATGGTTTTCATGTGAAAATTTATCAGTAGACAATATTTAAACGTATCAAACGAAATTTCAAAATCTGTATTTAAAAAATAATTGTGATTTTCCTCTAAAGTGTATCCTTTTGCTCATAAATAGATTAGTTACTTACCAGCAGCATAGTCTTTCGCGTGCAACCGTTCTAAGACTTACTATTTCATCGAGCGAATTCTATATTTCGTTAATTTCAAGGCTAATTTCAATGAAACTTAAAATCGTTGAATTCTTGTTAAAATGATATTTAATATTCTCAAATCCTGGCAATGATGTTCAAATATTACAAGTGATGTGATCATTTAGGCCTACGTATCGTTCGTTTTATTATATTATATACAGTGCATGTGCCTTTCTTATTATAAATTAATCAACGCAACACACCATCATACCGTATAACAGAAATTACAATTAGGCTTAATCGAAACATTCACAGAAGAATCACATTTTCTGTAACAGGTTAACAAGCATTAAAAAGAAAAGGGGGGGAGGGGGGAATATTTATAAACAGTCAATGTAGTTTTTCTATACAGACAAAGATGTAAACACCGTAAAACAATTTTCACAAACAATTAGCAAATCTTATCGATATTCCTTAAATTTGTATTCGAAGCAAAAGCATCTTTGTATCTCATTCTTTGAGAACCTTTCAACCACCTAAAACAATAATTGAAACCAACAGTACCATAATTCAAATTAAAAGAAACAAACAATATCTACTACCCGTTGTGATTATCAAATTAACCAACTGCCTGAGGCACAACAAAATCAAGTGTATCAATAGTATGAAATAGAAGGAAAAGAAGAAATCAAGGCACAATCTCGTCTCATTTGGCCCTCTCGTGTCGGCGCAAATGAGCGCTGAGAGTGCCTCGTTGCGTGAACCGTTTCTCGCAGATTTTACATTTGTAAGGTCTCTCCCCCGTGTGAGTTCTTCGATGTTTGATCAGATACTTCCTCGAGCTGAACGCCTTTCCACAGAACTCGCATATCTCCGGCTTCTCGCCGGTGTGTATTCTGATATGAATCTTCATGTATTGTCTCCTGATCAACTTGCCGCAGACCTCGCAAGCCACCTGACTTTCACCTGTATGCGTCCACAGATGCTCCTTGTAGCAGTAACTGTAAAACGTCTCGAATCCGCAGATCTCGCATCTGTACTTCTTCCTGCTCTCCGGCTGACTGTGGATCTTCATGTGACTCCTCAGGTAAACTCGATTACCGAACGACTTGTGACAGATCTCGCAGGTGCAAGGTTTGTCGTCGCTGTGCACGCTCATGTGAGTCTTCAGGGTTGCCTTCAGGTAGAATCCTTTGTTGCAGACCTCGCAGAACTCCGTGAACTCCTTGTTGTGCCTTCTGATGTGAATTTTCAGGTAGTACTCCGAGGTCAGCTTAGCTCCGCAAACGTGGCAGATGTGAGGTGCTCCGTGCAACGTTTTGTGAACATTCAGATACTTCTTCTTCTTGAAGACCTTGTGGCACACGTTGCACTCGATCGGACCCGCGGAAACACTCTGCTCCTTCCGTTTCAATTTCGTCGTTTTCTCTTTAGGCTTGCGCTGCTTGTTCTCCGCTATCGTCGAGTCTTTGCATCGAACGCGACGATGCTTGAACAGTTGCATCTTCTTCGCGAAACTCTCGCAGCACACGTCGCAAGTGTACTTCTTCTCGGCTTTTCTCAACGCCTCGCGAGTTCGTAGGATCGACTGCTCGGTTCTGTGCACCAACAGAGCAGCCTCCGTGTCGAACTCCTCGTCGCAAGACTCGCAACGATACGAAGCTGTTGCACGTTGAACGACGCACGATCTATCGACATCGCCGACAAACGAACGATCTTCCCTTTTCGACGATCGAACGGCGCGAGATCGATTCGGCCTGGCTGGTAACGTCTTCACGCTTTTCGGTCTGCAAAAAGACAACAGAGAGCATGAGCAGCCTTCGAATCGGACGAATTTTGTTCACGCACAGAACGAGGACACTAAAGGGAGTTAATGCGATTCTGAACGAGTATCTCGACGGTTAGAACAGCGACAGCAGGGAGAAAGGTGTCTGAAAATGTGCTTCATTTGTCTGCGAATCTCGTTACTTTTTTAATCTTTTCGAACGGGCATGTGGTTCGCTTAGGTGAAACGAGAAAATTGTTTAGAGCTTGTCGCAGGTGAGACTATCGAAAGAAGGTGAAGCTACTTACTGCAGAAAGCTGGTCAAACTGCAACGAATGATTCATTGTATGCGGTTCAAGCAGATTTCTTCGAGGAATCGTTCGGACAAATGACACGAGACAGAGATTGTTTTTTTTTCGTGGACATGTTGCACAAAACAGCTATGAATACGAGAAACGGTTGATTGCTTATGATCTCGAGCCCATTGTTTCGTATGTTTCATACTCGAGCTGTCGTTCTTCGGAATTTCGATGCTGAGATAACATCGTTTTTAATAGTTGTTTCTGTGATTCGATGCGCTTGTTTATTCGACGAGAAAATAAAGAAACACGAAGTGTGAATGCTGAGTAAGAAGTTGCTTTTTTTTTTTTTCATGTAGTATAAGTACAAAACAAAAGTGTTTACTGTATTGTTTATTTTTATGAAGTTGCTTACAAAAAAAGAGGCCATTGCTCTACCTGGATTCGGATAATGAACAATAATACGACATCTCGTAGAAAATGATTGGGATTAGTTTAGCAGTCTCATACACTCGTTCGATTCACACAATCACCGATTCTGTTTGTTTACATATATATACAAATTAACGCGGGTGGAAATTAATGGAAAATTCGAAAACTGAATTTACTTGAAGACGTCATATCCGTTTGTTTTCGATGAAAATGAAGAGGGAGAGAAAGAAAGAGAGAGAGAGAGAGAGAAAGAAACACAAGATGTTGAAATTTATGAAAACATCGTTAAATGCCGTAAACAATACTCTTATCTACATTTAAACGTTTCACTAAAGCGGACGAGTATCACACCTACGATTAATCAGTTACAACACGACAGGTAAAAAATAAATATTTCCACCTTGTAACGCGACGGTGCAACACGAAAAAAGCCACACGATAAATAAGGCGCTCTTCTTCTCCCCTAGATGTATAATTGACGTAAATATAGTTGGCGTTATAAATTAACAGATGTGCAAGTAGCGTGTGTCATGAATGAAAACAACGTTCGATAGAGAAATGAAATAAAAGAAAGAAATTAATTCCTACGATAACTGCTACAAATATAAACGTAATAGTTTTATACGCTTAAAAAAACACGAAGGGGACGAAAGAAATATGAGAAAAGAAAAAGACATTATCACAAATTGAAGTACTGGTTCTCAACATGGTCCTAACATATTTATAATAATATGATTCGGTATGATTGCTTTTCACGCTTAATTTTATTTGCACTTATCAAAAGCGTTATTCATAATTAATAATTACTATCGATTAAGGCTGTATACCGCGCAGATTGAAAGAAACAGCGAGAAATTATATACGGTTGTATCAGTTAAACATTATTCAACTTGCTGCGTCGTTAACTCGTTTTAATTCGGATATTTTTTTTTTTTTTGTTTATTTTTATAAATGCATATTCATCCACATTTTTTTTCTGTTTTTTTTTTCCCTCCTTTTTTTGCTTGTTGCGATAACGAGACTAAGGCATTATTATCATACTTATTATTCACTAATTTTTAAAGCACCTCTCGCAAAATTCTATAATTATAGGCTGAATATATATCTCTATGTATATATCTATGTATGTATATATATATATATTATTCACGAAGAAATGGTAAATCACATGTGCGTATATAAAAGAACGTTGAGTATTCGAGGAATAATATAATGTAAAAAATCTTCCGAAGCGTGGACGGCTGTGTGTTTCGTAAAATTACACGTAAAAAATTTCGTTCGACGCTCGAGTGAGAAGAATATAGTATAAAAAAAAAACGCGAAATTTCACAAAGTGTAACATCGATAAGAACTAGTTTCTCTTTTTTTTTATACACATACGACACTCGTATCCGAAAACGTACGATTCGTAACACATTCGTACCGCGTTAAAAACGAAGAAGAAAAAAAAAGAAGAGAAGATTAATTCACGATTAACCCTGTTTTGTATTTTTTGTAAATGTTAATAAAATGGAATTCTCAGCAGAACGTACCTACACGATATCTTTACGTTCGACTTTCACGTGTAAATAGTTAAATGCAAATTGTAAAAGAAAAGAAAAGAAAATTCCAAGCTATTGAAATATTCCTCAGCTGAGATTCTAACGTATGCTTCACACTATTTTACGAGACGTTAGCGAGGAACTTGTATAGCACATTGTTTCATCTTACCCCTTTAAACGTTCAACTTGATCGAAATCATTGAAATATCAGACGAGGACGATTTTCTTCTTTTCACCATAATTGTTCGTTATAGTTAAGAACGTCACGAATCCTGAGTTCACGCCAGATGCTAAATTTTTTCAAATATCCTTCATGGCCGCCTGTTGATACAATTCACGTTAAAACGTACGGTGAACGCACTGTAACTTACTACAGAATCCTACATTTCAACGAAGTCGTCAAACGCTGCTCGAGAATAGTTTGAAAATTCCCCTGTACAAAATATCAAGTATCAACGATCTTCTTCTTCTCGAGACGAGAGGTTGGTCACTTTACAGATTTCGATGACACACTCGCACAGTCGGCGAACCAGGATTTTTTTCCAGGGAAGACCCGTGTGAAATTTAGGAACTTTCAGGAAATTTGTTATAAATCTCCCCGTTATTTTTTTTTTTCATCCAATAGTCTTTCAAGAAAAGACTAAAAATTATCATCAGCCGGAGTCATCTCAGGATTCGAGAAATTTTTGTAAAAGAATTAACATTATTCGACAATTCTAACGCGTTGTTTTACACTTCCCCTCCCACCGAATTTCAACCATCAGAAAGTCAACTTTCAATGATTCATTCTCAAGATAAGTCACGTGAAATTATGCTTTTCGATCGGACGAATATCAAAAAATTACGAGCAACGATTAAGTATATATATATATATCGTATATGGAACCATCAGTGCGCAGAATAAATGCTCGAAAAACACTAATATCTCTCCTGAATACTTGAATAATCGGTAAAAAAAAGAAAAACAAAAAGGATTCTTTACATCATTCCTGTACCATGATTCCGTCGTCGTATAAAAATAAACGGGCATTCGAATAATTACAGTTAACGACCGTCGTGTCTAAAATACCTACCCCTTACTCCGATCACGATTCTTCAAATTCAAATACCTCATATATATATATATATATCATTAATTAACCACATAAGTAACTTCGATTTTTTTTCACAACGAACGAACGTATACATTCGTCCCTCAAAAGGCCATCGTATTCCAAATATCTACTCGATTGTCACGCGCAAAGAGTACCCTAACTAGGCAACAGTATAGTAATCGTATCGAGCGACTGTTCCTGATGCTGTATCTCTTGCTCCTGCTGCAACTGTTGCTGTTGCTGCTGTTCCTGTTGTTGCCGCGCGCTCTGCTTCGCGTGCGTCTTCAGATGAGAGTTCAGCATTGTTTTCGAGGCGAACGACTTGTGACAACATGTGCAAGGATACGGTCGGTCGCCTGTGTGACCTCTCAGATGTACCACCAGCGTGGTTCGTTGGGTGAATCGTTTCTCGCAATGGGTGCATTTGTGGGGTCTTTCGCCCGTATGGGTGCGCCGATGAACACTCAGATAATTCTGCGAGATGAAACCTTTCCCGCAGAGGTCACAGACGTGCGGTTTCTCTCCCGTGTGCTTTCGCAGATGCACGGTCAGGTACGTCTTGCTCGACACAGCTTTACCGCAAACCGGACAGATGTACTCGTTCTGAGGACCCACGTTACCATGCGTCTTCATGTGAACCAGCAGTACCTGCTTCCTGGAGAAACGTTTGTTGCACAGCTCGCAGTGGTGCTTCCTTTGAGGCGGCACGTAATCAGGCTGATGGAGCTTCGCGTGCAGCCTCAAACCCTGTCGATAACGAAACGTGGCGCTGCATATCTCGCATTGAAACGGCTTCTCGTGGGAATGCATGGACTGATGCTCCTCGTAGCTGGTGGAAGAAACGAAGCTGGCGCCGCATACCTCGCACTCGTACTTGTAGTCGATGTTGTGCCGCTTCTGATGAGCAATCAGGCTCTCTCTGTGCGTGGTAACGAAGCCGCACGTCTCGCAAGCGTGACTCTCGTCTGTCTCGTGCTCCAATTGATGCTCTTGCAACGCGGTAGCCGTGGAGAAGCTGCAACCGCAATGCTCGCACACGAGCTGGTCGTCTTGCAACTGTATCTCGTCCTGTTCGTGCATCTTCAGGTGCAACGCGAGTGCCTGCTCGGATACGAAACCATCGCCGCATAGTTCGCAGTGAACGATCCCGTCCGAGATGATTATCTCCGCGTTCTCCACCTTGGGCATACGATCGTCGGTGATTAACAGGCTGTGCTCGGTGTCTTCGTGATCGAAGATCTCGTTCGGGCCGCACTGCTGCTGATCCTGCGGTAGCATCTCAAGCTTTGACACAAAATATCTGGAAAGAAGAGAGACACAAAAACGGGGGTCAATCAATGGGTACCAATCATTTCGTGTTCGATCGTTATTCTTTTTTCTACTCTTTCCTCTTTTTATAGAGGCGTGGTCTTTTTTTTGGTTTGTCAGAACTTTCGGGGACCAAGCATTCAAACATCCGTGAATCTTTTTTTTTTTTTTTACGAGATCGTGTAACTTCATAAAGAGTGCCTCGGTGCTTTCCAGTATTTTTCTTTATTACGTTCTTAACGTTTAAACTCCTTTCTTTTTTCTTTCTTTCTGCTCGTTGTTAATTACCTTCAAGCAGCATAAGCGTGGTGTTTATTTTAGGAAAATTATAAGCGTATTTAAAATCGGAAATTAATTATTCTGCGATATAATACAGTTCCGATACTCGATCTTCTGTGTATCGAGATTCTTTCGTTGGATTATTTATCGTAGTTAATTTTTATGGTTTGCAAAAGTTAAAACGGGAAAACAAAACGATTAGTTGAAGGACTAAGTGTCTGTAATGTCCACATACGGTCAGTAATTGTGAGAAAAATAACTATCACACGTTGTATTATATTTGTTTATGATTAAAAAGGAAAAAGATATAGCGTTAGATATTTAATAAATCGTACATATGATTTGTAATCGTGTCATGATACGATCATATTTCTGTCAATATTAATTCTCTACTGTGCACTTACCACATGCTGTACTGTTTTACCGACGCTGCAACCCGCCATCTTGGATTTACACACGCTTCCGTAAGTCGATACGGCATTAAATTAAATTGTTTTAAAAGTAATACTAAATCTTACGCTACTGTGAAAGGAAATGGATTTTAAAAATAAAAAATCTTACTAATTATTTCGTATTATGCAGTATTAGAGATTAAAATTTACCACTAATCTAACTAGATATGAAAACTAAACGAATAGCTGTATTTTACAGAAAATTCCGGTTTCTCTTTCAATTACTCAAAATTATCATAATTATGCAGCAAAATTTGATTATTCAACGATCAACACAATTAATCAATATTGAAAATTGTTAGTATTAAATTTTTTTTACAGTTCGATCACGAAAACCAGAATTTGTTACAAATAATAATACCATACATATCTCTCTCTATTTTAATACAAGCACAATTACGAAACGCAAATAACTAATTAAAAAAAAAGAAAAAGAAAAGTACTATTTCATAATGGTTATAAGACTTTCTAATAACATTGAAAACTTTAATTAGACGAAAAATTACATTCAGAAGTGATAAAATTCTCAGAAATATTTTAGCAACGATTACGTCCAACGATTAATTACAACTATATTATTTAATAATATCAATCAGCAGAGATCTTAATTTTTATGAGGTTACATAGAAATATTTAAGCGTCTTCATACTTACGTTTTACGATAATTCATATGTAGTGACCCTGTACTTACATTAATTAGAGGCACATGAATTCATTGTTTAATGCTGAAACGCTAACTATATCACTTCCATCTATCGATCCAACGAAAAATACTTAAAACAATCGTATACTTGTACAGTAATCGTACACCGCTAAATGCTCTTCTATCTAATATTAACGATACTTTAACATTGAATAATTCCTAACACTTTACATACGCAGTTTCTGCTTAGCACAATTAGCTTCACTATTTAAAATGTCTTCTTTTTTTTTTTTTCTTTTCATCGATTAAAACTTCTCCAAAATTCAATCTTTTAGGCACATTAAAACTTAGTTCATTAGAACAGGTACTAATTTTAGTTGTAGCGAATTTCACACTTCGAAAGTGACTGTTTTTTCTTTTCTTCAACGAAATTTCGAAATTCCGAGAGTTTAGAAAATAATCGAGAACGATAATCGCTTAAAATATTCAAAATGTACACGAACGAACAATATCACAGTTACGAACATGCATGTTATACGTTAGTTTAATGTTAATAATCGATAAAACGTATATCCCTACCAATAATTCAACAAATTCCTGTCAATTCGAAAAATCCAATAAATCACCGCCATTCCCGTTAAACTTTGTAAAAATCTCAATAACACAATAAGTCTCGACGAATTCTCATCTATGCACGCATACTAATTTAATAAGGCCACCTATCATTTGCAAGCTATATATCTCTCCCTCGAGGCACTTCGCGATCGATTTTCTAAAACCATCACGCACGCACGCTTGGTACAACGAAAACGAAAATTCGAAACGAACGAAATTTTCATAAAGTTCCCTATCTAACGAACGTCTAATATAACTCCTATATTATTCTAAACGAATTCAACGTACTATATCGTCACAAATGACTAAACTTCGAACCAACAAGTGAGAAACGTTAACTTACAAAGAAAGAAACTTACAAACTTTCCCTGCACAATTTGTAACGTGCATTCGTTAACAAACAATTTCTGATCGTCGTATTCCACACGACAGAACAGAAAAGATTCAGTGCTTTTTCATGTGATTCAGCATGATCGTTCTGGTAACGAATCCTTTGCCGCACAGTGTGCAAGTGTAAGGACGTTCTCCCGTGTGATAACGGCGATGAACGGTAAGCGTGGACGCCTGAGTAAACGATTTCCCGCACATAGCACAGAGATACGGCCTCTCTCCCGTATGAATACGCTGATGGACCACGTAATACTTGCGATGAGTGAAACCTTTGCCGCAAACGTCGCAAACCAACGGTCTAGATCTGTGTACAGCCTTGTGAGTGGTCAACGATTCGATGCTCGCGAATTGTTTCGAGCACGAGTCGCAAGGATAGGAGACGACCGACGTTTTATTCGACGTAGCCACTATTCCGGCAATACTGCTAGTGACCGGATCACCGGAAGACACAACGGTGTCGGTGATTCTATCGTTGCCGGTCAATATCGGTTTGTGAGTTTTCGCGTGATGATTGTACAAGTTTCGCGTCTCGAAACGCATCAAACACCTAGGACAGGAGTACGGTTTCTCCTGGCCGACCTCGTGCATCCTCCTGTGACGCTCGAGTAGCGTACGATACCGGAAACTGGCCTGGCAACGATCACAGGCGAACATCTTCTCTACGTTCATCGTCGACGGCGACGAGGACGACGATGTCGATATCGTTTGCATCGGCGCGCATGAGGTTGCTGCCGGCGCGGAATGTGTCACCTCGTGCATCCTCAAGTGACTCAGAGCAAAGAAAGTTCGTGAGCAAATGTTGCACGAATATCTCACAGGGTTCTCCATGTTATGCTCGAATTCCGGTAACGCCGGATGACTGGTTCTTATATGGTAATTTAGCTTAAGGGCGCTGCGAAATTCTAGGCCACAGGTGGGACAAGGATGGGATTCCGTAATGATCTGCACGTGATCCAAGAGCGTTTGGTCAGAACAGATGGATGGTAGATGGGACGGAACGGTTTGATATGCGTTGGGCATCATCGGCGACTGATTGGAGAACATTGAGTTGTTCTGAAGCAAGGTACACGTGACGGGTAAACCGGTGTCCCCTGTCTCGGGTGATGGCGAAAGTATTTGACGCAGCATCCCCGACAATCCGCCGAACGTCTCGCTTCCTTCCCTGAAATCGACAAAACCCAAGGACAATGCAGCGGTGAACACCACCGAAATAAGTACACACATAGGCATTGTCTTTGATTTATTTCTTTTTTTTTCTTTTTTTTTTTTGGTTTTCTGTGATCTTGCTTTCTCTCTTGCAAACAAAACAGGCAGCGGTGAGTTAAAGACAGGAGATAAAGCAGAGAAAGAGAATTTTCGAACGCTGCGGTGATTTCTGCATAGTGACCGTGTGCAAAGTGCTTGGGCATTGTGGTTTTTCTCTTCTGGAGAAAGAGAGAGAGAGAGAGAGAGAGAGACACAGACAGCATGTACAGAGTGCGACGAGAGTGAAAGTGCAGATCGAGCTTCGAGAGTTTTGTCGTCATCGTTGTACTCTGTTTCAAAATCTTTTCACGATCTTCGTTTGTTTTTGTTCTTTTTTTATTCGTTCGAGAAGATCGTAAAAAAAATGATTCGTGTTATACTTTTCGCTTTACCTTCGACTTTTCTACGATATATATGTATATGTACAGAGTTGTGTCTTGTCCTTTGATTAATTTCAAACGGATTAATTCTACGTAGAAATATTAGCTGTTAAATAAGAACGTTATGCATTTGATATAGTTTTTCACGATATTTATTTGATATTTAAAATGAATTATTAGCTGATGAGTTGAATTAAAAGGAACGTTCGTTTCGCGCGTTTTACTTTCTATATTCCTTAAACTACCCCTCTCGCCATTCCACATCTCTAGACTCATAATGAAGTAATTGGCACAAACTGAGAAAGAAATGAAAAGTTTTCTACAGGCAAACCAGCAGAAGGAAGAAAAATGTTAAGCTACAAAACGTTGGCAAAGAAGTTAGAAGAAAGCAAACCCTTGCTTAAAGAAAAAAAAAAAAAAAAAAAAAAAAACTCATTGTCCTTACTAAGATACAATATGTTTGGAAAATCAAATTAATATAGTATTTAATGAAAATTCGATCCTCACCTTTTCTTAAGAGTGATATCCCGAAACATCCACCAAGTGTCTTCTTCTTCTTCTTTTCTTCTTTTCACCACAAACTTCGATTTATCGATATTACTCGGAAAAAATTCACGGCTTAATACTAACAATGTTAAAATGTTCAAAAAATGCGGGGACACTTATGGTATAACATAGAAAATGTAAAAAAAGAATAAAACGAAACATTTTCACGTTCCTTTATCCGGTAATTTAAAATGGAAACGTGAAATGCTTCGAAACACGCGACCATTTCGTCTCCAAAACTCTTTAAACGCAACAGCACCGACTTCTTTTCAATCAGATGCAAACATAGGCTGCAAAAAAGTGCGCCAAACATGGTGAAAAAAGTTCGTTTTTCTATGGGCGCGTAAACGCAGCCTCGATTTCAAACTGGAAATCATGGGAAAACGTAGATAAATCGCGTGAAACGGTTCGATCGTGTCTTATCGAACCGCAAATGAAAATAACGCGTGCAGCACAAATAGTGCGCGATCGAAATTCGTCAAGTTCAAAGCGCAGCGAGATTTTCAGCAAAAATAAAAAATATGCTGAAACGCGCGCGTTCGATGAACTTCTTGAAATTGCAAAAAAAATCGCGAATTCGTTTCCAGTCGCACCGTACGCGACGGAAGAAAGAGAGAAAAAAAAAAGAGGCGAGAAATGATAAATTTCATTGGAAAATAAATTATAACTTAACAACTATGAAATATAAAGAAACGGTCGTTTGAAAATATTACAAAAGCGTGATACTCGCCTTAAACGACACATTTGTCCAAGGGTCCTCTTCATGTTTCTCATACGACGATTAATCTTCGATTCTTCAAACGTTCTTGATAAATTATTACTCTAACCGTACTTTTTTTTTTTCCTTATCCATCTTTCGTTTCAAATCAACTCTCGATTTTCTCATTTTTTTTTTTTTTTCTCATAAAACACTTGGTTACTTTTATATAGAGCTGGCATCTAATTGGTGGATGCCAGCCACAAATGATATCGATTGAAACCGACTCGTGGCAGAAACACCACACGGTTTATCAGCGGGTTTTTGTGCGCAGTTAACAGAACGATAACACTTATAGGCTAACCGGTATACTAAATGTAACTAATATGGTCCTGACGATAATGTAAAAGCGTAGGCATTTGGAAAGCACGAAGACGACAAGAAACGGTATTTTGCTGTTTTTTTTTCTTTTCTCTTCTTCTTTTTTTCTACATTTTTTTTTTTCTTTTATACGAATCATAACACGGCTTGGTCACACTTTTGTTATGCACCAAGCGCGTCTAATATATACCGTGACGTTAACTTACGAAGTATTAGTTTGTGATTTTTGATCGGCCTATTGTCGGCCGTGTGCGGCATTTTGTGCCTTCACGTAAGCGTGGGATATTGATACTGACAACATGTAAACATCTGGTTCTCAATTGAACAGAGGGATTAAATACCTGCCGCTGTTATGCATTAAGTATCGAACAACAACCGATTAACTTACATACACACGTTAGAAAACAGCTCTCGTTGAACACGTTGATAAAGTGGACACGTGATTAGTAAAATCCCTCTGTTCATTTATTGTACACGTATCAATAATAACTAGGATAGAGTTCATTTGAATAGGAACAGTTTTTTGGTAAAATATGACAGTATGGAATATCATCTTGTGTGATGTAAACAAAAAAGTCTTACATCGAAGTCAATCTTATTGAAATGAACTCTAAGTACATGCTAACACATGTAAGTATATTGAGGTATTTTGCAATCTGTTTCACAAGGTGGACATACTTTTCAGACAAAAATTCTTCAGGTTCTAAATTGTTTTTATTTGTGATTAAATAATTTCACAGAAATTAAATATATATGAACTAGACTTTTTCAATATCAAGGAGGTGTAGAGATCAAATTGCAAAATACAGAGAGCCAAAGATGGTTGTGGGGTGTGTACTAACTTACCTTGTTACTTTTTGCACCCTATTCGTTTGAATCTGGTGACTAACTCTGAAGTATACTCTTCCAAGGCAAAAGTAAGATTGTACAAAGTGCATATATAGTAGATTGCAGTGATGGACTCCCTTAAAGAAATGTAGATATACTATATTTTTTTTCTCTCCAAGTATTATTAAATATTTGAAAATCAGTGATTTAAAAATATTGAATACTTCTTCGAATATTATTTAATCTACAAAAACAAAACGAAAATCAAATAAAAAAGTAAGTTATGCAAAATATGTTAAAATAGCCCCCTGATGCTTCAACAGAAAATAGTATTTCAAAATAAGCAATTAATTTATTCGAAATTACAAACAATTTAGGCTTGTAAAAAGAAAAAAGAAATGTCTGTATAAGTGTTTGTGTTCTCCACAACAAAATAGCACCTTTGGCCCTTAAAATACAAAATATGGATAAAAGACTCACCCAGGTTTGGGATCCCCATCAGCTGGTTGTGGAATTGGCATCTCAGGCATATCTGAGATCTTCTGTTGCTGTAGCCCAGAGGGACCTGCTTCATCACACGCCAAGGAAACATTTACAAAGGTTGTAGGCTCTATTGTTCTATTACTGGGATCTTCTTCGCTCTCTTCTTTTACAGGTAGGCCTGAAACAAAGAATGAAGTCCAGATTTTTACATTTCTATTTCAATAAAAAATAAAAACAATCAAAAACAGATGATTTTATTATATACACTTAACACATACCTTCATCTCCATCACATTCATCGTCAGAGTTCTCTTCATCTTCACTACTTTCCTCTTCGTCTTCTTGTTGCATAGAGCTTGTTTGATTTTGTGATATTTGGTTATGTGTGGTTTGTGAACTTGGACCAGGCACTGCCTGAACGGTTTGTACAGAATTACCGCTTGTGTCCATAGGAACTGAGGTTATTTGTTGTTGATTAGCACTGGATATCATCATAGGAATACCCAAGCCCATGTTGTCCATCATACCCATACCCATATTGTTCTGATGCTCACCCACTTGCTGCATCACATTTCCATCTAACCTGTTCTCTGAATTCTGTTCTTGTTTCATTACACTCTGCAACGAAACACAAACAAACAAAATGCATTTACTACTTTGTGATATTCGATACAAGCAAATCAAAATATTTATTATGATTAAGAAAGAAATGTAACCTCCAAATGCAGTAGTATGTGAAAATGTACCAAAATAATTAAAATGTATTTTAAGTATAAAAATAAAATAAGAACCGTGAAACTTAATATATTAACTAATTAAGAAACTTACAAAAATATAGAATTTAAAATATTTTTATAAATAATAGTAATAGTAACTAAGGTAAACATGGAACTGAATATCAGGAAATAAAAGAACATCTATGCTTTCATATTTTGTTATATACTGTGGCAAATACAAGTAAAAATAAAGTATTACCGGATTGAGAACATTGGTAACATAACCCTGCTTGTCTCCTAAATTGACTTCCCCAAGCCATTGTAAAAGTTGTTTCTCTGCGTTTGCTGTTGTATTCCAAAATTGATAAAATAATTCTATTTTATACACACAGTCATCGCATATTTTTTTAGGTAACTTGTCTTCTCTTGCAACCTGTAGCAACTTTAAAATAAATATTTTATTTATATAACAAAAATGTTTTGTTTCGATATTCGTTAAAAGATACAAATCAGTTAAAACGTTTGTAAAGTACGAATTTAACACGGAATATCATTCATAGGAAAGATTCACAAAAAGATCAAAATTAAAAATGTACTCTGTACTTTGTACTGATTCGCATGAATAGTGCGTATAAAATATATAAACGAAAAACACTAAATAATCGTTATTTATATTATTTATTTAATTATTCATTACAATTTCTCATTTAAAATCCACAAATAGAAAAGTGCATTTTCAAGTTGCAAATAATAAACTAAAGTAACTCCCTTTTTGTTAGGACGGATTTCAAAATACTATGTTGCAACATTGAAAACACCTATTAATGGACGGCTTTAAAAAGTACGCAAAGTCAATTATAGGTATTTTATAATAGAAACAATGATGTCGAAAACAAGATGTCGAAAAGGAAGAGGATTGTTCAATTCTATTTGTCGTAAATAAATTAACGTTGCAAATTGCCATTCTCGGATGAAAACGTCAACGGGCTGTTACACAAATGATGATGAAAAAATTTGGGTAGATCCGCAATACGTTACGGTAGAGAAAAAAGCGCGGCAAAATTCTATCGAATAATTCGTGGCGTCGTGGACGAATTTGATGCACTGAATAGAGGGAAAAAGAGAGATAAACAGCACAACACCACTACACAACTACGTGGATGTCGCTGCTTTGGTGTTGTTTGCAATTTCTTGTGTACAGGGTGATCTCTGAAACAATCGGGAGCAAATACATCTACTGGGAGGTCGAAAAGTCGTGGACGGTCGAGGAAACGCGGTGTAGCTATGAAAATGCACAAGATGGCGGATCGCCATTGTCGAAGCGATGGCGTAGTTGGCTTACCTTGACCGGTAGGCAGGCGGCGATCTTAAGAGATATCTGCCGTACGTCTCCTTCACCCTCGAAAATCGGTACCGAAACACGGTCCTTCACGAGACACAGCCGACACAGGTCCAGATAATCGAGGGAGGACATTTTACCGTGTAAAACGCCAGCTCGAGACGCAAAGCCGCGCCCGTAGACGCGAACGCTGTTTCAACCCAAGCCGGAGAAGACCCCGCGTTCTTCGGTACGCGTCGTTTGCTCACTGTACTTCGGTTAGTTCCGCCGTCATTCGGCTATCTTCGTCTCTTCCCGGTTAACTTCGCAAACATTCGGCTGGACGGTTGCGTATCGATCACGTCGCGTTCGAACCAACTGCTGTTACACACGACAGTTTCGAACATTGCGAAGACTTCTTTCTTTCCAATTCATCGTTATTTAACATGGATGGATTGCATCACCACTGTGAAATCATTGCCAGACAAGAGAAATTTAAGCTTACACGGTACTGATTACGTTTTTCCGTTGATTTTACTTTCCGATATGATTTATGTCGTACTTGCATTAAGCGAAAAAAGTATTGCAAGATGGCTAACATGCTTTGTCGATCTTATGCCCTGTTCTAAATAATAAAAGTATATGTGATAATCCAAGGTATTATGTACATACGTTAGATTCGCCTTTGATACATACCGATTGATCGTCCAGGTGTTTAAGAGGTCGGCCGAGTTAATGTAAACCTATCAAATTTTCATGCACAATTACTCCCACTTCTACGTGAGGATACAATCACGCATGATCAGTCAGGGCACGCTCGTCGATGGGCAATAAGAATAAATCAAAGCCTCGGGAAGAATAAACTGAATCTATGTTAACTATTTTTTAGCTTTTCGATGTTACGATATTTCAGAAATTAGACGCAATTTTCCTAAAGTGCAAATTTTTTGACGCATATTCAAGCATTCGACAAAGGGTCACGTGATTTATCAGAGACTAGCAGAAAGAATATTTTCAAGTATTTCGTTGACAAGTATTTACGTAAAATTAATTTACTTTTATAAATTCAGTATAAACAATGAATTTACGTGAAAAAATATTACGTACTTTTTAAATTCTCCTGTTATTTCTAAAAAATTCAGTAAATTTCTAATTGTTATTGCTAATGCATAGTGAAATATAAAGCAAATAAATATTACTAGATTTAGATATGGAATAATAATATATAAATTATCGATAACGCGAAATAACGATTTAGATACACGAAACCTAAAGCTTCGATTTTACGAAAAGTGAAATAGAATAAAAAAAAATTTTTTTTTACAATTTTCTGCCTCTGAACATATCGATAAATCATATTTTAATAGGAAGATAAATTTTCACTACCGAGCGTGTAATCGACAGGAATTTTTAATATCATACTGCATAAAAGGGACATAGCGATGCAAAAAGTAATAGGGATAGCACAGTGCTGCCACGTTTCTATGTCGTTGAAGCTGTGTAACTTACCCTCCCGCCGTTAAACATATCAATGACCTGCCTTGTCTTTTCCATTGGCTGTATGAACTACGCTTGGCTATGACAGCCTGATTTAAATTGCAGCTCACGCTACTTTCCCAACTTTTTATCGTTTTCAACGTGTTTCCCCGATAAAATATCTTCTTCAGAAAAATCTTTTTGAATTGCTAAAACTTGCACGACGAACGTTCAATATCCCATCGCATACGCGATATATTTTTTTTATCTTTTCAATATCTTTCTTTTAGATTTATAACCAAATCGTTAAATACATACATTTCTAAATAAAATTTGCCTTTTATTAAAAATCATAGTACGAAAACGGAAAAAAAGTAATCGAGAATTGAAAGGAAAAATATTACTACACCACCTTCAGCGATGCCTTGACAGGCACACTTGTGCGCGTTGCACATTCATTTATTATCTTTGACTCGTATTGTTACGTAACAGACAACAGGACAGATCGTTCGTGTGAGGTGTACTGGGAGAAAAATGACGGCATTACCTTTTTTTAGATAAAAAAAACTGCTTTATTGTGGCAGAGCACATGTATTATCATATACCAGCATATAATTAGGAAGTCCATAGTAATTTACAAATTACGATCCACTTAAACGTCGGTACACGTGGCGGTGTATGCAGGCAGATTTGGGAACCGATTTCGATCACACGCATGCTGTGTTACCGTGCTTTATTTTCTTCTTTATTCATCATCACCATCACCATCATCATCATCATCATCACCATCATCACCATCATCATCATCATCTTCGATCGTTCACATCTTATTATTATTTCGTTTAACATTAATTTTTTTTTTCTTTCGATACTTTTTTTTTTT